CTCGGCGAGGGGCTCGGCAGCACACGGAGGGCTCTGCAGCCACTGCTTTTCAGGGAGGTTTTCAGCCACTGCTTTTCCCTTTCACTTCTGGTGCCGTGCCCCCAGAGCTGGCAGGATGTGGTGCAGGCCGAGCCTGCCGAGAGGGAGAACGCGCAAAGATAGGCAGTGATAACGGGCAGAGGTATCCAGGGGAAACCTTTCATCTCACTGCCATGGAGAGGGTGTTGGAGGCTAATAAGTCACAAAAAAGCAGGGCGCAGATACCACAAGTTCCCTCTGCCCTGTAGGTTATGGCAGTGTAGGAAGATGAAATAACAATAATCAGAACTTACAATCAGGGGTAGGGGCCGGAGTGAGACACCGGCAGCATGTCGGCAACAGCACAGCAACAGTTTCCTGCCCCCCTGGCTGCTCCCTCACAGCCATGGACACCATCAAAAATTCTGTGGAAAAAACAGCCCAGGGAGGCTCTGGCTCTGTCCTCCCAGAGAGCCCTTCCCTGGCAGTGCTGGTCCAGCCACTCCACAGCCTCAGCCCTTGCCAGGGGACATGGTGGCAGAATAGGGAATCCCTCTTCTGGCACTGGCACCAGTGAGAAGGGAACAGGCACAACAGGAATCTCTCTGATGGGAGAAGGGAGGCAACACTAAAGTTAGAAAACTCCTAACAAGTAGAGCCAGTCAAGAATAAATGTTGTCCCTGCCAAGAGAAGGACAATGCTGAGGGATGTATTATTTTTCCCATTTTATGCAACAGCTGGCTGTACTTAGAGCTGAACCATCCCAGAACAGCCACATGTGTGAGAGTTTGCAGGTGCTGCTTTGGCTGAGCACTGAACATCTCTTGTGAAATTCTCACTTAAAGCCCTAAAATTCCCCAAACTCCACATACTTACAGGAAACATTTTCAGCCCCAAGAACTTGTCAGCTCTGTTCATGATGTGGGCATGAGCCAACACTTGGGAACTCCCTGGGACTTCTCTGCAGGCCATAGCCGAGTCCTCCTGCCTGCTCCGCAGCCAAGCCCCAGGCTCCTTTCCCAGCACCGCACCTGTCCCAAAATACTCTCTTTTTCTTCCTTCTTCTAGTTCTGCACTGGGAACAATGTCACTGATGACTATGACTTCAACACCACCATTGACTACAGCATGTTTGAGACCCTGTGTGAGAAGGAGGAAGTCCGTAACTTCCGCGCTGCCTTCCTCCCAGCCATGTACTCCCTCATCTGCTTCACAGGGCTGCTGGGGAATGGGCTGGTGATGCTCACCTACATCTACTTCAAGAGGCTCAAGACGATGACAGACATCTATTTGCTGAACTTGGCTCTGGCAGACATTCTCTTCTTGCTGACCCTCCCCTTCTGGGCCACAAGCGCAGCCATGTACTGGCTTTTTGGGGAGTTTGCCTGCAAGGCTGTCTATTGCATCTGCAAAATGAGTTTCTTCAGTGGGATGCTGCTCCTCCTGTCTATCAGCATCGACAGGTACTTCGCCATCGTTCAGGCTGCCTCAGCCCACCGCTTCCGTCCCCGGATGATATTCATTAGCAAGGTCACATGCATCCTCATTTGGCTCCTGGCCTTCATCCTCTCAATCCCTGAGCTGGTTCACAGTGGTTTGAATCAATCAGGCCACCATCCCCATTGTTCCATCATTGCTAATGACTTGAAGGCCTTCAGCACTGGCATCAAAGTGTCACAAATGATTTTTGGCTTCTTATTTCCCCTGGTGGTCATGTGTGTCTGCTACCTCATCATCATCAAAACATTACTGCAGGCGCGCAACTTTGAGAAGAATAAAGCCATCAAGGTCATCATCGCTGTGGTAATTGTCTTCGTTGTCTTCCAGCTGCCCTACAACGGCATCATGCTGGCCAAGACCATCTCAGCCTTCAACAACACCAGCTCATGTGAGGAGAGCAAGAAGCTGGACATAGCAGATGACGTGACCTACACCCTGGCCTGCTTCCGATGCTGCCTCAATCCTTTCCTCTACGCCTTCATCGGCGTCAAATTCCGCAATGACCTCTTCAAGCTTCTGAAGGAGCTGGGCTGCCTGAGCCAGGAGCGCCTCTGGCAGCTGACCACCTGCCGCGACAGCAAGAGGTATTCCTCTGCCCTGGAGACAGAGACCACCACCACTTTCTCCCCATGAGCTGAGCTCCAGGCAGGCTTTGACCAAGCAGAAGGCTGGAGCGGTTTTGTACACTTCTGAACTACTGGTGGAGCAAAACCTGTCACTGCTGCAGGAAAAGTGCCTGCAGGAGGAAACCCAGGAACCTCTCCCATTTCAGGGAATGAGCACTGCTAGCCAAACTCCCCTGGATGAAACTTCAATAAAACTGTGACTGAGAGCAAAGCAAGGGAGAGGAAGACCAGCAAGTTTGTCATCACACCTTTATTTTAGTCTTTTCTAGTGATAATGAGAAACGCCCAAAATAAAGTATTTTCCCTAAAAGCAACACGAGCCAAGAGAAACAAACATTTGTGCAACAGAACTGCTTGTTTTAGAGCTGAACTTCCAAGAGCATGATCCTTGCTTAGAATGTTGCTTTTAACAAGACCAGATTGCTTTAACAGACAAGATTGCTCTCCCAATCCCACAAAAATGATCCCTGCTGCATGGACTTGGTCTTCAAAGAAAAAAAGCACGAGCAGCCTCAGGCTCCCAGCCCAATCCAGTATGCAAAATAAGCTGTGAGGTATCCTAGGATGCAACCCTCTGCTCTGCCATCCCCCACAAGTAGTAAATCCATACATAGGATATACATTATTTCACTAACTTTGTATATTATTGTGGCAACCCATTCATTTGTCAGGAAAAGCACAAATTCCACTTCACTTCTGCCTGTATCTGGTGCTTCACCTATAAAGAAGCTGCATCCTATGAAGCACAAGTTATTCCATACCAACATTGATTTTAATTCTTTAGAAATGCTGCTCCACTCCAGAAATAAAGTCTCCTGTAGCTTCTGAACAGATAAGGGTATTTGCCTGCACAGACTGATGCAGGGCTAGTTCACACAGTTCAGACTCAAACTTTCTGCACCAAGACAAAATTATTTACAAGCTCCAAATAGCCAGTGTTTTTCCAGTCACCAAAAATACAAACTTGAACTAAGAGTCACACTTCTGCACCAGCCCAGCTGGGTCCTTAAAACACATTTTTACCACGCAGCCATCCAGCCTGCCCCAAGGGCATCATCACTTCTGGCACAGTGCATGGCTGTTCACTCACTTGCTTGATAGAAACCACCTGGATTAGTGACTGGCCCCAGAGGCCTCAGAATTTTAAAGATTAAAGCTCAGGGTGAATCCTTATGCATTTCTTAAGGTGAGATGCTTAAATTCAGGATATAGTTGTGGCCATGGTCCAACCACTTCAGCCTGGCAGCATCTGAAGCTTGTCTGCACTGAGCTTTATCCACTGCTATGGACACAGGCTGCTCATTTTCACATACACATACAGAGAATTCTCTGCTCTTGCTTGCTAACCTCAAGAGATAAACAAGAACACGGGTCTTCTTCTCCCTTCTTCTTCTTCCCTTCTAGAAAGACAAGTGTCTTTCTAGAGAGACTTTAGCAGCTGGCTTTCAAGTCAGATATGTATTTCACTTATAAGCTATTGAAAACGTGGTTTGCATTCCTACTGTCAGTGCTGGTACAGATGCCATTCACTGTGGTTGGATTTAAATGCAAACAACAGTCATGGGTTGAAGATTACTGTCAGGGTCATGTACTTGAAAAGAACATGGCAGCTGAACAACAGATTATTGTAATGTAAAATAAGACCTTGAAAAGCAGCCCAGAATGTACTGCCAGTTGGTGCATTTACTAGAAGAGCGAAGATCCCACCGACAGATGAACACTCTGGGAACTGCTGCCCTGGGACATCTGAATGTCAACTGGGAAGGAGTTGCTGCAATTGTTCCCGCATCTGTTATGGACTCTCATGCTCTGACCCCCGCAGCACACAGCTCTGCCAGAGCCAGAGAAGGGTCCTGGCCAGGCTCTGCTCCCAGTGCAGGGAGGAGCAGGCTCTGGGGAGGTGCAGCCTCATCCCCAGCAGCAGTGAAGGGTCCTTTGGGAACTGTATGGCATGTTCCAGTAGAGGGACAGAGCACAACACACTCAATAAAGAGACAGTCACAGTGTTTTCAGTACCATACAAGGATCCATGAGGAGCAATACAGGATCATACATCAAAAAATAGTGCTTCAGAGACAAGTGAATTAAAATCCACCTTCACAGGACAGAATCCAATTAGCTGGTTTTGAGACAATGTTGCCAGTTATGTAGCTGGATGCCATCACAGTTAAATACATTCTTCTTCCTAAATCATTTGGCTCTAGGCTATGGGGTTTTGCCAAGAGCTGGGATTCCGGAAGAAGCCACATTCTGCTCCTGGTTACCTGTCTATGCTTAAATACAATCCCAACCAACTGTTTAACACGTTCTCTTTTGTCACATCCATGTAACATGCACAGAAGTGATGCTTCTGTGTCACATGAAATGGGGGTTACAACTGACACTGCATAGTCATTTATTCTTGGTTTGCTCCTACAATCCTTACTTAGGTAAGACACTCAGGTAACGAGAACGTTGCCAGAGCAAAGAATACCCACAATACAGTCTTTTTCGTTTTCTTCATCAGTAACAATATATTCTTAATGTACAGTCATGTATGTAAAGCTGCTTTACACAGAAGTTAAATATGTACATGAATGTACCCTGAAAATACACTGCTTTAACTAAAACTTTTTATGCAAAATATATTCACCTAACTTATTCTAGCAAGGAAAACTGCTTCACCAAACATGAAATAGCTCTTGTCTCCTGTTTGATAAAAGCCATTCCCCATCTACAGACTGAGAAGTCCTCAGGTTTTTATCACCTAGATGGGATGCAACTGCTTCTATTCAAATGAGATATTAAAAGCATCATTTGGGACAGCCTCACCAGGTGTCTCCTCAAGAGGACAGTGCTGACTTCAGAGTGCATGGCTTTTTTTTCTTTTTTTTTTTGTTTTAATGTAATGGACAGAACAAATCTGCCACTTCTTTAGATGAATCACATTAACATTGGCCCAAGTTCCTAACTTGGGAATCCCCACTGAAGTCTGAAAACTGACTGTATTTTCCTATTTGTGGAAAATAAATTATAACAATTAACAAAAAAAAAAACACCTTTTTTTTTCCATTGTATTTCCTCCCTAGGATGTACTTTGTGTGTACCATAAGTATCCTTTACATAAAGTGTCTTATAATTGCAACCATGGAATGCAAGAGAGGGGAACCTCAAAGAGAACCAGAAGACATGAAGCTTACACTGGAGTGCCAAAGCTAAGGCCTGTCTCTGCTTTCACTGAACAACACACACCTCTCATGGTTTCTCCCCAGAGAAAGTCCTGGGCTAGTTTCATCATCTGGCCCAGAGGTTCGAGCAGTGATAAAGAGCATCTCAAGACCACAGCACCACAACATCACCCTAGATAACAACTGTCTAAGCCCAAAGCTCCTTAAATAAACATTACATCTCGTTTACCACAACTAGGTCAGGAGTCTCAACTGCCCCAGTCCAAGAGCTCATTGCACAAGAGGTGTAGCCTGCTAAGATCTCTGAACACAACAGAGCTGGGGCTCTGCAGAGCAGGCTCTGCCACGGTTCTGGCAGCTCCCTGTGCTTCCCAGAGGTGACTGAGAACTAACCTTTCACACAGGAAACATCCTGAATTTCAAGAACACAAAGAGTCTAACTTAAGACCCTGATTTAAACCCATAAAACTCAGCCCACCAAGCAATCACCCAAGGTCACACCTCAGGCCATAAATATCCCAGCCGTATCACACAGCTTCAACTACAGGAAAAAAAGTGCAATTCCAGGATGGATTTAACCCATTTTAGTACCTTTCACCAGCAAGACAGAGAAAGAAGTTTCCTTTTGCATTTCACTGGGGGACTGGGACCAATCTCAGACTTAAATCTTCTTGAAAAAGTCAATTAAAAGTCAACTGATAAAACCTGACCCTGGTGGCAGAAAGGGGCCACTAGTCTGCAATAAACTACACCAAAAGCAAGAGAGACATCTCCCACCTAGTCACAGTCATGTGGACTCCAGATGGTTCCTGCAACCCTTTCTCCAAGTCACTGGGGGAAACCTCTGTCCCTCAGGAGCCCTGAGCTCTGAATAAAGTATCACTGCTAATCACTTCTCCTTCCCTGCCAGTTCATTACCTGTGTACATGTGCTAGTGTATATTTTGAAATTATGGTTTAAAAGCCCTCAGAACCAAATGGATCTGGGCTGGGCAGGAGGTGAACTAGAACAAGAAGGAAGTGAACTGGAATAAGGCCTCACTAAACGCAGGCACTGGTGTGTCCTCTCCCTGCAGAGCTGTGCCAGGTACTGCTCCCCATCAATTGCTGGTGAATGAACTCATTAATAGGATGGTGAATGTGAAGCTTCTACAGGCACAGCCATGGTTTCTCATATGTCCCCCTGGTAGCTGCAGAAGGGAAGTCCTTGCCACCAAAAGAATGAGCATGAGTTAAGTGAGGCAAACAAACCCTAAAAATAATGCACGTGTGCGATGAGGAAGGGTGGTGGCACATTGCAACAATCAGAATAGCTGAGAGTAGGCTATGGTTTCCCCTCCCCACATCTTCTTTTATAGGGAAAAATAACCCAAAGTCCTGTATTGGGTGTGGAGGTGTCAGATCTCAAGGGAGAACTTCTTGCATGGCCAATGATCTTCCCCCCAGCTTGTCCACAAAGCTGTTGTGTCCCTAGCTCTGCTCCTCAGTGACCTGAGTCAATCCTGCCTTCTTCCCAAGCAGTAAAGCAGAGATAAAATGTCACTTTGCACAAGCAGCAACAGGAGCTCCTAGCTCTGTTCTAGTCCCACATGTGGGAGCCTCCCCGCCCTCACACTGAAACAAAGTGAAGTCCCACATACTCAGATTTTGCAGATTTTGTAAGTTTCCAAGCAAGCACACGCAGAACTGGGGCAGCAGGCAGCCCTGTCTTAAGTCACTTTTCACTGTCCCCTTTCAATGAGACCCCAGATCCGCACAGAACCAAGGCTGTTACCCAAGCAGGGACTCAATCCTTCTCAGTATTAAACCAAGCCCTGCCACAGCTCGTTACAAAAGTCTTA